AAAAAAAAAAAAAAAAAAAAAAAAAAATTGCATTTCGAGTGAATTTGAGTAGAATTTTTATTAGTTAATAATAGAAATCTAACGTGACACTGCATTTTATTAACATCTTTATCCTTATCAACTACCGTGGTCTCTAACATGTTCTTTTCTTCATCCATGATGATCACCGTCACTTTCTCGGTTGCTACTATTTTTTCTTTTTCTTCTCTTCTGAAAAAAGGACGAGACAAGATTTGACACCTCTCTGAGCTATTTAAGAGAGGTGTCAATTCAAGAACCAAATTGAATGATTTTTCAAACTTTGGACAAGATTGCATGATTTACAAACCTTGGGACATGGTCAACTTGTTGCCTAAACTTCAAGGACAGTTGTACACACATCAATCTCGCTAAATTAATAATAAAAAACAAGATACTTTAAAAAAAAGATGTAATATATTAATGTTACTCTTGAAAGTTCATGTGTATTTTAAAAAATATGGTACTCAGCGATTTTATCCCTACACTGACAATAAGGGTATTCATATATTTTCTTTTAAGAATTGGGTGATTTAAATCCCGTGAGGTTGACGGCGAATGTAGCAAATCAAAGCAAACAATATCTGTTAGCAGTGAGCAGACGATGTGTCAACGAGTACGTTGGGTCTCCAAGGGAGTAGATTGTGAGATCCCACATCAAAGAGTGTCGAAACCTCTCCAATGAGTTTTAAAAAAAAACATCAATTTTTAAGTTTATATTAGAGACAAATTCGTAAACTATTATATTCATACATTCAAACCCTCTTAAAAAACGTATGTAACGTGACCATTGTTCCGTCCTTATCTATCATTTAACATAAGTCCAAAATTTATAGATCTTCTAATATCCATCTAATATATAATTACTAATCATGTCAGTATCCAATCGATATTTTATGTGTGTAGAAGTTATGAATCTCGTCTTTATGAGATCTAAGATATTTTACAACAAAATGGATAAGACCCAAAACATTATAGAAAGCATATTCTTTTAATCTAAAACTTTTATGAACAAATTGAATAGATATGTTTCATACTTAGTTTATCATGTTCTTCATTTTTTTTATTTGATATAATATTAAGTGCATTTAATTTATAATTCGAGAGAGGTCGGTTTGCCGACTCGCTTAAAACCCCCCACCATCGTTGTTCGTTGTCACTTCTGAGAAATTTTTAGGAAGAGAGGCGCAACGAAACGAAACGACGAATCCATAGGGAGTGAAAACCGTGTGTTTATCTCATCCTTTCCTTCTCAAAATCCCTTAATTTGTTGTTCGATTTCATTGTGTTTTTCTTCTTTCTGTGAATCCCCTTTTCCCTTCACGAGGTTTCCTTTCGGATTCTTTCCCTTTTTCCTCTTCTTCTTCGGATCATTCGCGGAATTTTGTCGATTTCTGTTTCTGTTTCTGTTCCTGTCTGATTTCATGCTTCCTTTGTTCTCGATTGCACATAGCGATTGTTCATTGTTCTATTTTGGAGTGTTTTTATTTTGTGGGTATGATTCTTGTTATTTCATTGTTCATTGAATCATAGGTTTTATGTTTTTTTTCCGTTCGTAATTAGACTTGATATGAAAAATAAGAACTGGGTTTGTGTGGAACTTTCATGCTTGCTCGAATGTTCATCTTGTGTTCTTGATATTTATTGGGTTTTTTTTTTTTTTTTTTTTTTTTTTTTTTTTTTTTTTATGGAATGTTNATCTGTTTATGGGTTTGCTATTTTTTTTTCTTAAACAAGTTTCCTTGATTCTGTGTTGATCCAAATGCATTATCTCTTCAGCTTTTTTTACCAGCAAGATTTCTGCATTTGATTCCAAAGAAATAGATAGTCAAGGAGTGAATAATCATGTCTTACCAACAGCAAAATATGGATGAATTTGATTACATGGCGGGTGGGCATGAAATGGCTGATGAAATTGATGATGGGGGTGATGGAGAATTGGGTGACGACGAATTCGACATGGTTTGTTTCTTTGATTTCCATTTGTTTATATATATATATATATATATATATATATATATATATATATATATATATATTNTGTGTGACTCTTTGACATTAAGATCTACAAAAACTTTGCAGCTTACGAAGTCAATAGATACGTCGTCTGCCCTTGCGAGGAAGGGATTGGACATTCAAGGTATTCCATGGGATCGATTGAACATTACCCGTGAAAAGTATCGATTAACAAGGCTTGAACAATATAAAAATTATGAAAATATTCCTTCATCTGGAGCTGCTGTTGATAAGGTATGGATTGTCATAGAATCGTTGATGTTTGCTTTGTGATCGTTTTTGAGGTTCGTAGCTTGAATGGAGGCTGTCACGGCCTTATCGATACTGGAAGTTCTTACACAAGTATTGTAGTAATTGTATTTGTCTTTTTAGGAATGCAAAGCTGTAGAGAAAGGAGGGAACTACTATGAGTTCTTTCATAATACAAGATTGGTTAAGCCGACTATCTTGCACTTTCAGGTATTGCCACGGACAATGTTCGATTCTCCGTTTTCGACTCTTAACTATAATGAAGATAGGTTGATACACTATTTGACACGTTCTATACGTAGGTCATGCTATTGGTTGGTAGTTTCGTTCTCTAGTTATTTTCGACTTATTTTTGGTAAAGGGTAGCTCATGATTGTTCTCAAATGATATATGGGCAACTTTTCGTGTTAAATGGTCTGTTTATTTGTTAGATTTGATATCAATCGTGTCCATGTCTGAGGCGAAATCGTTATTGAGTTTCTGTTGTTGGTTCCTGTGCTTATACCATCTTCCCGAGCGCTTTTGAGGAAAAGAAATGATTATTTACTTTTGTCTTGTAGTTAAGGAACTTGGTCTGGGCAACTTCAAAACACGATGTCTATTTGATGTCGAACTATTCTGTCATGCATTGGTCATCTTTATCTGGCAACTTATCTGAAATCCTCAATTTTTCCGGGCATGTTGCTCCTACAGAGGTCGGTATCACACTTACTATCATCTTTGTGCACAAATCAGCTCAGTTATTAACAGAAGCATGAGATTACCTTACACATTATGTTTATATCATGGGAGTTCTGATATGAAACGATTAATGTTCTTGTTATGTTCATCGAAAATAACACTTTCCCGTTTCGAAGGATACTAGCCAAGATTAGGAGTTACGGTTTGGTGCGGTAGTTGTCTCTTAATTCCCTATGCCCTCTGTAACTGGCTTTCTATGCCTGGTCATGCAGAAACATGCTGGAAGTTTATTAGAGGGTTTTACACAAACTCAGATTAGCACGCTTGCCGTCAAGGATAATTTTCTGGTTGCGGGTGGATTCCAAGGAGAGCTTACTTGTAAGGTCAGCGCGTACTTAGTGATTTTAAGCTCATTTTCTCTTGCTGTGTTTCGGTATT